ATGTCGTCATACAAAATAAACTTTCAGACAAAAGGCCGATTTGTTCCGGCGTGCCTCAGGGATCCATATTAGATCCACTTTTATTCCTTATATACGTATACTAGGGTGGGTCAAAAAATTTTTTTTTCGGTTTTGAAAAAGGCTCAGTAATAAAAAGGTGCCAAATGGTGCCGTTAGTTCATATGTAAAATTTTATTACATAAACAAATAGTTTTATTGCCTCCGGATTGTACTAAAGCATTGTGTGTACGTAAACTTCTAGCGTCTCCTCGGGCGTCACTTTACTAATTCTTTATGCATCTTCGATTATGGTTCCTGTTACTTTGGTTGCCTAAGCGTTAGTGTTAGCTACTGTTTGGTTGAGTTCAAGTAGCCAGGGAGAGGGAGGGGTAAGAGTGGGGGTGTTAGGTAAGACACACGGGTAAGACAAGTCGCGCACAGTTCATCGCAATCAGTATCTTGCGTTAGAAAGTGCGGACGTGTAAGTTTCGCTGTCAGAAAAATGGAACGTACTCGAAATAGTTGTAGTGTATTTGGTGATTTAAATGACTTGAAAGACAACGTATTGCCAACCTATGGGGATGTAATGCGATTTTATGAGTGGACCCGACACAGGTTGAAATACGAGAGAGAAACAAATAAAGAGCCAACATATAAAGAAATAGAGGCCATTGTAGTTGCAAGACTGATAGAAATATGGGCAAAATCCTCTATCCCTACAGTTGAACCCAAACGAATGAAGGTAATGTTACAAACGTATCACTTAAAATGAAAGAATACCTAAAAACACGTTGGAAGGGTTTCGTCTTGGGAGTAAAGCATTGTTTGATATTTCGGCTTGCAAGTGTCAAGAGTTTCTCAAATGTGCTTGCCCGAAAAACAAGAAAATACCTGCAAGAGAACGTGGCTTTATAACTGATCAACGAACCGCTAGGCAAATGGTGATAGGTGCCTTAGATGTTGTCACAACAACAAAAATTACAAAAACACTGAAACGGAAGTCAATACGAGAAAATTCTAAGAGCAAACGACTGAAAAAAACCGAAACATGTACGGAAAAGCTGAGTAGCACTTCTGAATCCGAAAGTGTTCAGTCCGATGCTGAAGAACCAACACAAATCAAGTTGAGGACTTCAAGTGGTCAATCTAAGAGTGACACTAGACTTGATTATACTTTGCTATCAAAAACATGCGATAGATTCGGAGTGTCGGATAGGGCAGGAGCAGCTATCGCATCAGTTGTTCTACATGCGTCGGGTTCTCAAGTAATAGATAAAAATAAACTACGCCGAGAACGAAAAAAGGCCAGAGAAAATATAGTTTCACAGCAAACTGTTTCACAAATACATGCATAGTATTTTGACGGAAGAAAAGATCAGACTCTAATGATGTCTGAAATAGAAGGAAAAAACTATAGAAAACGCATAGTTGAAGAGCACATTTCTTTGATAAAAGAACCTTATTCGGAGTTTTTAGGCTATATTACACCTGCTTCAGGCACTGCAAAGTGTATAGCAAATGAAATATTTGACTTTTTCTTGAATGCTGATATATCCGTCGATGATTTAACTGCAATTGGATGTGATGGAACTAATGTGAATGTTGGCATATATGGCGGTATTATACGACTGCTAGAGAAACGGTTAGGTAGACCCTTACAATGGATTATTTGTTTATTCCATATGAATGAACTACCATTTAGACATCTGTTCCAATATATTGATGGTAGTACCTCTGGACCACGAACATTTTCAGGAACGATTGGCAAAGATCTCGAGAACTGCGAAAAAAGACCTATAAGCAAGTTTAAGCCTATTCCAACGAGCTTACCGGAGCTTTCTGCTAAAGATATCAGTACTGACCAAAAATACTTGTACAGAATGGTTGAAGCAATCTCAACCGGTGTATTTCCTAGCGATTTGGCTAATAAATCACCAGGTAAAATGTCGCATGCGAGGTGGCTGACTCGTGCGAACAGGATCCTCCGTCTGTATGTTTCTGTAGAGACTCCGCCTGAAAGTCTAACTATTCTTGCAACGTATGTTATCAAGGTTTATGCTCCGATATGGTTTTCTATAAAATCTCATTCTAGCTGTAAAGATGGATCGCGACACTTTTTCAAACTCATCGAGTTATCCAGATATTTACCAGCAAATTTGAAATCTATCGTCGATCCAGTAATTCAAAGAAACAGCTATTTCGCACATCCGGAAAACGTATTGCTCGCAATGTTAACAGACTCTCAGCCGCACATTCGTGAATTAGCTGCACGACGCATTTTGAAAGCTAGATCAGTAACAACTAAAGATTTGCGCATTTTTAAGTTACCACAGATTAACTTCAATGCATCAACGTATTATGATCTTTTGAATTGGCAAGAAGATATCTCTGAGCCACCATTATTGAAATCTGTAACCGAAAAATATCTCCGATTATTTATTGAACAGAAAGGAGAAAGAGACTTGGATTTCTTACGCCTTCCTTGTCACACACAAGCAGTAGAAAGAGCAGTCAAAGCTGTAACCGAGGCCTCAACCACTTTGTGCAATAAGCTAATGAGAGAGGGATTCATCAAAGCCCAGATGGACTCGAGAAAAGCAATGCCAAAATTTGATAGCAAAAAGGATTTCTCTACAAAATAAACCCCTCGCTCAATGATTATTCATTATTATTTTTGTTGTAAACATTATTTTCTGTTCAATAAACGTTTACTTACTATTCATTCAAGACATTTATTTGTAAATTATATTCATTAGTGTGACTTTGTATGCCACGCAGTTATACCTCCTTTAACCCCATCTTTGACAATTTCCACATGATTCCGGAGGCAGAAGATTAATTCTGATTGCAATCAAACTTCATAACATGTTCACACTCATGATTTAGCACCTTTTTGTCACTGAGCTTATGAAAAAAAGGAACATTTTTTTTTCACATATAAAAGTGACCCACCCTATTATATACATATACACCTTTGACATTTCTAACACCCTTCAACATTGTTCTAGTCAATCATATGCTGATGATATGCAGGTTTTTCATAATTTCTGTCCGAACAACTACCATTTAGCTAACAACCTTATCAATCAAGATCTGCAATACTTATGCACATATGCTGCAAAACATAATTTACGTCTAAACGCATCGAAATCGACAGCTATACTTTTTTGCTCCAAGAAAAAACATACTTTCCTCAAATCAAAGTTAAATTTATCACTAAATAATAGTATCCTAATATTTTCCCATTCTGCAAAAAATTTAGGTTTGTACATGGATGAAGATTTCAGATTTCAGGAGCATGTTGGCTATGTGTGTAAGTCTAGTTATTTTAGACTCAGGCTTCTATATGCAAGTAAAACTGTTTTAAATAGAAAAATTAAGAAAATGTTATGCGAGTCACGCATACTCAGTAAAATCGCTTACTGCAACATAGTTTATTATCCCTGTCTGGATGAAATCACAAAATACAGACTGCAAAAAATTCAAAACTCATGTAGTCGTTACATAAACAATTTAAGAAGGTACGATCATGTTTCTCACTCAATATCTTCAATGAATTAGTTGAAAATTTCTGATCTTTTCAAAAAAAAAAAAAATACAACTTTGTTACATTTGTCGTAAAAATATTAAAAACTTCTGTTCCGGTTTATCTTATGCAAAAGCTTGTTCGTAGAAATTTAATTCACAATTTGAATACGCGCAACATTAATCTCCTGACAATGCCACAACATAGGACAGCCATTTTTCAACAGTCTTTTACGTATAATGCGGTGAAATTGATCAACTTTTTCGAACAATGTTTCATCAGCAACTTTTCTAAAAAAAAATATAAGAACTACTTATTGAGCTCTTTGGTTATTGTCCTCTCTTTGAATCGTACGTATTATGTTTTTTGTTCTAATCGTACGCATTATGTCATATTTATTAATTCTTCTTTTACTATTATTCTTCTTTTTCCTTTTCTTTTTCAGTTTTTTATTTTATTTTTAAGGTATTAATAAGCATTGACATGACATTTATGGTTAAGTATAAATGGCCATTGGCCAGACTTCACCATTTGTAAGGATACATAATTATGTATGTGTTACAATAAAGTCCATTGAATTGAATTGAATTGAATTGAATTACTTAGAAAATGTACAGATCTTTATGTTATATTGTACATATAAACCCTATTTGTTCATAATTCCTTTTTTCTTTTCTAGCAACGGGGGCAAAAGTCACCCTATCCCCAACACCCAGCAAAATTGCTGCGACAAGGAGCAGTAGCAGCTCGGGCAGCAGCAGTACTAGCAGCGACAGCAGGAGTACCTGCAGCGCGGCCAGCAGTACCAGCAGCAGGATGACCAGCAAGGAGACAGCGAAGGTGACCACCCCTACTGGGGGCGGTCAAATGCCGCCTCCCGATCGGAGACGGCCCCCCGGGGAACCACCCGCTATGACGGACGATAGAGAGACCTGGGGGAAAAAAGTCGACTTTCTGCTGTCTGTCATCGGGTTTGCTGTCGACCTGGCCAATGTGTGGAGGTTCCCGTATTTATGCTACAAAAATGGCGGAGGTGAGATTTTGCATATGAGAATTGAATGTCAATATTTAAGAGGGCGATTTTTCGGTCCATTTTACGTTGAAAACTTCATATGGACGTATGTCTTGAACGTCTTAATTCTTGGTAAGGTTTTCAAAGATTAACGCTAGTGACTTTTCTTAAAAAAAAACGGGATCTGTATTCATAGAAACACAGGACTAATGTCAGGTGTTGTGTGAACCTCTAGTGATAACTATGAAACTGAACATGTGCCTCTACCAACTTGGACCAATCTTTTACCTTCAACACCAATTGGCGAGAAAGTATTGTCGTCGAGAAATACAGGGTGTAAACGTTATGATAGTCATTATTTAAAAGGGTGTTAGAGGGGGTTAAAAGACGCAAACAGTTTCATATAACGTGGGGGTCAAAACGGCATTTTTTTTAGAGAAAAGCGCAGTTTAAAGTAAAATAAAATCTGACAACGCCGCAATGCCAGACGCAAATTACGACGGAACGCAGTGTAAATAAAGATGGAGTTTGTTATTTTCGACTCTTAGGTATTATTTCATTATTTGATATACAGGGTGTTTCAGATTATTGTTGCATAACTTTAAAATTCGATAGAACTTTGAAAACTAATGCATAAAGTCTATACAAACATGGGTCGAAAAATGCGTGGCTTCCGAAATACAGGGTGTTTAAACAATATATATATAAAACAATATTTGATGTATAACAGTGAAAATTGGTATACAAGGGTGTCTTGGTACGACAAAACGAACCATGAGCATAGTTTTACTGTCGCCGCTAGAGGACGCTCTCTACTGTACCTGTAGTGTATTAAAATGACCGAAAATTTTTTTCTCGTGCAATTTTTTGCTTTTTGAATAAAAAAACTGATTCTACGTACTTTTCAACATAAAAAAGCTCTCCTGTGAGTTTTCGTTATAGTTAGCCGTTTTTAAGATATTTCGATTTTTAAGGTTCGATGCATTTTTAATTATTTATGGGAAAATAATATTTTTTTTACATTTCCGATTTGGGCATTACAAGTAATTAAGACGATCGTTTAGATTTTTTTTAAACACAGCAATAATTCCTAACTCCAAATAAACACAAAAAACAGAATATTAATTTGTTTAATCTCCCAATATTATTTTTAACAAATTAAATTAATTATTTACAACTAAAATGCTATTGGATAGTTAGGACAAACATACGAAATCTAAAGTAGTTGCTCGAAATGTAAACCCACTTGTTCAATACACAATTCACATCTACGGATGATCGAACGTGGTATAGCATTATTCAAATAAGGCCTTATTTCATCACATGCATTCCTGATTCTGTCTATTAGCATATCTCTTGTGGTTACGGGAGTCTGGTACACTTTTTCTTTAAGAAATCCCGACAAAGAAATCTAATGGACTTAGGTCAGGGGATCGTGGAGGCCAGGCGACTGGTCCTCCACGGCCGAGTCATCTTTCTGGATAATTTTCGTCCAGCCAGTTTCTAACTATTCTCGAATAATGAGCTGGACAACCATCAAGCTGGAACCAGGCCAATCTTCTTAAATCTAACATAACATCATCCCACATATTTGCATGTTCAGCCTTTAAAAATTCCAAGAAGGTCGCAGCATTTAACCTTGCAGGCAAAAGGTAGGTTCCTAATAGTCGATTACAGTAGATACCAATCCACACGTTCACACTAATTTCATGCTGAAAATTTCTTTCCCGAACTGCATGCGGATTTTCATGCGACCAAATATGTTGATTATGAAAATTTACCACTCCACGTCTAGTGAAGCATGACTCATCGGTCCATAAAACGTTACTTAAAAACTCCCTATTATTATCAGTTCTATCAAGAATCCACTGACAAAATGTGATTCTTCGTTGGCTGGCTGTAGTCCTTGCACAGGTTGCAAATGGTAAGGACGTCTATGGTCATTTCTAAGAACACGGTGAACATGGCTTGCTGAAATTCCCAAGGCACCAGAAACTCTCCGAACACTTGTGGTCGGATCTCTATCAAACTCATGCAGAATCATACGGGTAAATCTGCGCTGACGAACATTTATGTTTTGATCCCTTTGGAGATTTCCAAAACCATTTTCAATTATTTGGCGATGCACTCTTACAAATACTACGCGAGTTGGATGTCGTCTGTTTGGAAATCTTCGTGCGTATTCTCTGGCTGCTTCTGCTGCGTTTCCATTTACACAAAATGAATATCCGCTAACTCTTGATTGGAGAATAAAAATGGCATTTTTATAAAACTTACAAAAAAAAAACAGGTAAAAGAAACTAAATTTCGTGCATTCACAATTGCAAAAAAACGTTTCAGGTTTCAACAGACAACAAAACTAACTGTCAACTAATTGACGTTGAACCTTATTCTGCTTTCAATTTCAAAAATATTTGCAGGCACAGCCTACTTCTAAAAATTATCGAGATACTGACTTTTTAACGTTATTTTATCATAAATAATTAAAAATGCATCGAACCCTAAAAATCGAAATATCTCAAAAACGGCTGACTATAACGAAAATTCACAAGAGAGCTTTTTTATGTTGAAAGATGCATCAGTTTTTTTATTCAAAAAGCAAAAAATTGCACTAAGAAAAATTTTTCGGTCATTTTAATACACTACAGATACAGTAGAGAGCGCCCTCTAGCGGCTACAGTAAAACTATGCCCACGGTTCGTTTTGTCGTACCAAAGAACCCTTCTATACCAATTTTCACTGTTATACATCAAATATTGTTCGAAATATTTAAAAAAAACTATTTTAGAAAGTAAATTTAAACACCCTGTATTTCGGAAGTCACGCATTTTTCGACCCATGTTTATATAGACTTTATGCATTAATTTTAAAAGTTCTATCGAATCTTAAAGTTATGCAACAATAAACTCAAACACCCTGTATATATTTGATCTGCACTGTCAGCGTGTGGTTCTGTCATGGGTTTTAAGGCATGATTAAAAAATAAAAACGACGATAGCGGGATGTTATCTTCCCAGCCTTGTCCAAACTTTTTTATTTACCAGTGGTAGGTTACAGCTATTTCTGCATATTCCTTATAAAAGTATGACTCAAGTTTTATCTTAACATCAACGTCACCTTTTTTATAAATTTTTTAAGTTTCTTTTCACGTCACTTATTCCATCAATTTGTTTTAGCATCTCTCTTAAGTCTTTGTGGTTTTTAATAAACCAATATTCGCCTAGTGCTTTGACAGTTCCGTGTTCTTTGTAAATTTCAATAGAAGCTGTGGGGTCCAACACATCTCCAGATTTTAGTAGACGCTTCTCAACAGGGAAATATATTACCATCTGTTGTATGTTTCTTGTAGAGTTTTTCTGTAGCCAGAATGTTAAGGCACGGACCACGTGCTGATTTTTGTTCTGGCCTGCGCAGCCATTCCCGAAAAGAATAAAACGTCTACTAGGCTGAAGAAATTTCTTAACCAGCTCTTTCATCTTGTGTTCCATTCCAGATTTAACAGTGTGGAATTTCAGTTGCAACATCAGTCAGCAGCTGTATTGGTCGATATATACTAAGTGACATATAAATCCGAACACCCAGTTTAAATGGTTTTATTTTAATAAAGTTTTGGATAAGTACTTAATGAAGCATAATAAGTAAATCATAATAATTTCAAAATGATTGCACTGCTTTAAAGCCCTTTGACCTTTAATAATGTGTGGATGCACCCTGATGAGCTACGCATTCTCCAACGCGCCTAGGCATGCTTCTGATCAGGTGGTCAATGTCCTCCTGTGGTATCCCATTCCAGGCAACCACCAACTCCTCTCGAAGTGCTTCTAGAGTCTGAGGAGGACTTTGCAAATTGAGCAATCTCCTACCCATCATATCCCACTCGTGCTCAATTGGGGATAAGTCGGGAGATCTTGGTGGCCATGGTAACAATGTGACATCATTATGTTGAAAGAAGTCTATTGTGACTCTTGCAACATGTGGTCGGGCATTATCTTGTTGGAAAGTTGGATCTGCCAGGGTGTCAAGATAGGGTAAAAGATGGGGTTCTAGAACTTCGTGGATATAATGCTGCGCGTTCATGTTACCTCTGATGAAGATTAAAGGTGACCTGGAATCATAAGCTATAGCACCCTAAACCATAACTCCAACAGTGTGATGAACATGTCTTTCAACAAAAAACTGTGGATTCCTCCTTTCACCACGTCGCCTTCTAACCCTGGCACGACCATCGTGCATGCCTAAACAAAATCGAGACACGTCACTAAAGACAACACTGTTCCATTCCTGATCCCAGAGTGACCGTTGTCTTCACCACTCAAGGCGATTACGTCGGTGTTCTCGAGTTAAAGGGAAGGACCCAGTGTGGCCGGTATGAAAACAAGCCAAAACTTCTCATTCGTCGGTAAACACTTCGCATGCCAATAGGTCTTCCGTGTTCTGCAAACCATTCATTTGCAATGGACCTGATAGTGGAGAAACGGTCCCTTAAGGCCAATAATCTTAGGCGGCGATCTTCACGGTCTGTTGTTCTACGGCGGCGTCCAGTGCCCCTTGTTCTTTGCGTACGGCCTGGCAACACCTAACCACAGTGTCTTACACTTCTTTGCACTCTAACTGCAATTGCCCGAAAAGAAAGTCCAGCTTCCCGAAGTCCCACTATACGGCCCCTATCAAACTCACTAAGTTGACGAAATCGTACAGGTCTCCGTACTCTAGGCATCGTAACCGATGGTAAAGGATGTCAAGAACCAAAATCCGCCAACGTTGATTCTTTACTGCGGCTGAAATATTCATTTTTAGAGCGTTAGTGAATTAAAAAAAAGCAGTATAAAAACCGGAATGTCCAACTGATAAGGGTGAAAATTTTTTCACTTGTTATTTACAGTCAGATAAATACATTCACCAACTTTTATTAAAATAAAACCATTTAAACTGGGTGTTCGGATTTATATGTCACTTAGTAAATGTTCTAGCGGCGAAATGACATAGTGCGTTTTGATCCGATTACTTCTGTGAACAAAGTGCATTTTGATGTGAACCCTATACTTCGCACGTCAATTACGTACACAGACGTATAATGCGTCTTGGAACGTTTTATTCATATAGGAATGTAGAGCACAACAAATGATTTCAGAAACCGCTTCAATCTCAATTGTGTCCAAGTTGGACAAAATTTGTTTTGAAAAGTTGCTCCTCAATTGTACCTAACTACTCCTCTCTACCTAATCACGATTCGATTTCGCCTTTTGAAACGAACTGACTCATCCTTTATCTTTGAAACTTCCAACGAATACGTAGCCACTTTCTTATAAAAATCCGACATTTCAAAATGTGATTATCAATGCAGATCGGTTAAAAGTGCGAGCCACTGATACCATAGGATATACACTTAAATACCACCCCCACCCCAGTCCGTACGATCACGCGTGAAAATTGCTTCAGTATCGTCGCTAATGGCTTCCGGAATTGAATTATTGAGATAGAAAGACAGCAAGTCTATCGCCTGTCGCCTGCTTTGCTCGTGCTTCCTCTCTGATGTTAATTGGCCCTGCTCTTCGACTCCCTTCCATAGATGGAATATGGTCTACTTCCCGCCCTACATTACCGAACGATATGGAAATAAAACGTACGTGTTAATACATGGGTGATAGCTATTTATAGGTGTGATATACGAGATGGATATTAACAGTCAGTAAGTTAGTTATGCGATAATGCTTTGAAGATGAGTGCAGAGGTCTTTTGGCTTCTGACGTTGCACTGTTCTCTGGAACACCGAAAAGCTGACAAAAAATACAATGTCTACTGCATTTATACAATATTCGGTTAATTTGTCTCTACGAGGGCATCTGAAGGTCATTTCAAGGTCATATTGAGGGCTCCTTCAAAAGAAGCCGACCAATTGAGCCCAATCATTTAGGTTTTTTTGGGCGCTGTGTCCGAATCAATGGACAGTTAGTCTGTGGGGGCATTTGAAGGTCATTTCAACGTGTTAGCAGTCGACACCAGATACGTGTCATATAGGTTTTTATGGTCTTTGGTTCCAAATCAGAGATTAGATTGTCGTGATGACGACATTTTACAGGTCGAGACAAATTCAAAAAAGTTGAGTAAGATTCTGCCAGTTGCTATAATATACAGGGTTTTTGTATAACTGGGGAGGTTATTTAACGATTTTTATTGAAGACCGCAATGCTGAAGTACTATGGGGCCGTTCAAGCATTACGTAAGCAGATTTATTATAATTATTTATCCCCCCATCCCCCTTGTCAGTAAAGGAAGCAAATCTCTTACCCCCTCCCCTCATGCTTGTAATGTATCGTTTTTTTAATATTATAATTATAACGTTATAATTATAATTTGAAAAATAAGAAAATAGATTTAGGATAGAGATTATATTTCACTGATACAGTATTCAACATAGAGTAAAGGACAAAAATATTATATCTTACTAACATAACAAACTTATTTTAAATTTTTGGTACATATATTAAATTCAATATAACAGTCTTCAGTCCATGAAACCCGGATCCATGATTCAAAGTTTTCGATGACATTGGATTGCTTCGATTGCTGCTCAGTGTTGTGAGTTTGCTCGCTTTCATCGGATTTTGGAATGTCTACGTCGTTCTCATCGAGCCATTCAACATCATGGTGCTCTAAATTTTGAATAATGCACATCAGTTCATTAGCACGACGGGCAGCGACTCTTACAGGTCTAACTTTCATGTCAGTGTGCGTGTTTACTTTTTTATGGATATTTTCGATGTGACGATTTAGTGACTTGACGGAAGCATGATAAAGACCACACGATTTGCATGTTCGACTTGATAGCCTCAATTTTACCGTCGGAAAAAAATAATCGTAGGGCATTTGCAGCAAATCTTTGAGTGAAGCACTTAATCGTAGAGCTAAATTGACTGGAGGATTAAGAAATTGCCCTCCTTCATCCAAAACCAAGTCATCAACTGTTTGTTTTACTTTTACAGGTGGTGGAAGAAACCTATTGTCTAGTAATCTAAATAGGCCACTTCTTGGACGACAGCATTCTGTATTTCTACATTTTACAATTTGAAGCAAGTATTGGTTCTCACGCTCATGTTCTGAATACCATTTAATGTCTGGAAAATCAGGAAGATCTTGTTCACCTGCCCCAACATATTTTGAATTAACATTATAACCATCAATTTTTATTGAACTCCATACTTCAGCTAATACATTTCCTGCAAATTCGAAATTAGATCTTTCTAAATGTTCATCAATTGTAACGCCACGTTCATCCAAATGAGACCCAAAATGGTCGTGAGGCAATATTAAACCAGCCAGTTCCCGACTAAGAGGAGCCATTCTGCGCTCTACTCTGTTATACGCACTTCTTCCAGGAGCATTGGTAGCTAAAAACAATGCATCGAGATCATGTCGCTTAAAGTGTTGTATAGCAAACCCTGTGACTTTTTGATAACGTGGATTTTCATCTGGCCCTCCATCAACCGTCATGATTACCACTGGTTTTACTAGTCCATGGTCAGTTTTAGCTAATGGTCGAAACTCTTCAAGTTCGAGAAGCGTCTCGAAATCCTGAGCATGAGTATTAGCAGTAGATGAACTATGCTTTCCACTTCGAATAGCGATATATGTTGGTCCAGAATATCCAACGGCTTGCGGTTGTCCTAGCATATTGGAAGTGATTTTGATACCAGCATGAACAGATGGTATTAATTTATGACGCTCAGCGATTACCCAATCGTGATCAGGCAATTTGATTCTATATTCCGTGTGCATTATAAGAGGTGCTTGCTTATTTGCCGCAGTTACGCCAATAGGAACTCGAGCTTTATCATCTTGAGATATGAAAAATACTTGATCTGGTAAAAGTATGGATGCTATGTTCTCTAAATAATGGATTGATGTTTCAGCGAACTAGCTATCTAAGTGGCTCTTGTGGTGATCAGTTTGAGCCCGAATGAGCTTAACAGGGACTGTCGATACATGTCTTCGTTTCTCTGCAGAATTAGATTTTCTGGGAATCAAACGAAGATATGTCCCACTGCGACTAGTGCCAAATCCTATTTTACGTAATTCTTGTGTGAGTTCATCAAGAGTTTTTACGCTGCGAATTGTTCGTCTTCTATCATCTGCTGCACTCCCAAATAAAGCTATATCCGCGATTTCTTTCAATAGTGAATGTTGATTGCTTTCAAGATTAGGACGTCCCACTGAATCCCTCAGAGATAGTCTTTTTTTTATTTCTGGATTTTCATGACAAATATCTTCTTTCTTTTCATACCATCCCTGTGTTTCTTCTGGGCAACTGCGTGTTGAACCTTCCTGTTTAAAGACTGTTTTGCTGTTTTTATTTCCTCGCGCAACTTAATGATCTGTTTATCAACTTCAGCACGGGTTGGCATAGTATCTCTGGCAGAATACAAAGCATTCAGATTTTTTTCGAGTAGAGCAATCTTATTTTTCATAGCTTCCTGAG